CCGAGGCTCTCCTGATTGGCTCGCGCCAATGCTTCCGCACCTCGGGCACTGGCAGCATCAGCCTCCATGGCTGCACACTCAACCTCACTAAGCCAGTCAGGAACCTGGGTATCTTGTTTGACCCTGAACTGTCCTTTCTCTCCCACATCCGCGCCATGACTGGTACTGCCTACCATCACCTCCACAACAATGGTAGACTCTGCCACTGCCTCACCCCTCAGGCTGCCAAAACCCTCACCCACGCATTCATCACATCAAGGCTCGATTACGGAAACTTCCTCCTCATCGGCCTTTCAAATTCTTCCCTTCACAAGCTGCAGATCATCCAAAACTCTGCAGCTCATGTACTCTCGCGCACCAGGCTCCACAACCCCATCACTCCCACCCTCGTCCGACTCCACTGGCTCCTCATCCCCCAGAGGATCGAGTTCAAGATCCTCATCCTAATTTTCAAGACCATCCATGCCTTGTCCCCCTCCTACCTCTCTGACCTGCTAACTCCTTACCAACCTGCCTGCTCCCTCCATTCAGCGAGCTCCGGCCTGCTCCATGCCTCCCGCCTGACCTGCCCTACCTTCGGTGGCCGGGCTTTCAGCATCTCTGCCCCCACACTCTGAAACTCCATCTCACAGTCCCATTGCCTTGCTTCCTCCCTTGCCTCCTTCAAGGCCGGTCTCAAGACCCTTCTCTTCGATCGTGCCTTTGGTCGCCCTCCCGCTTCTCTGCCTTCCCTCACCCCTACACCACCCTTCCCCCATGCTCGGGCCCTAACACCCGACTGTTCAGTGCTTTTGGACGTCCTTCCGACGTGAAAGGCGCTCTATAAATGTAATTTTGTTGTTGTTGTTGTGTCTGTGCCACTTCCAATATTCCATCTAGTCCAGCCGCATTGTTGGTCATAGGAAGGACACTGTCGAGCTCTGAGTGTTGGTTTGTCTGAAACAAGGGATAGCTTGCTGTCTGTACTGCAGGGACGGAGATTGAATATTCAGTACATCAGCCACACTCGTCTTAAACAGGATGATGGCCCACTGATTGTTCCACAAGCTCCTGCTCATTTTGATTGGCAACCACTTAGGCAGGAGAAAGGCTCTCTGGCCAACTGTGCGCTGCAATGGTGTTAGCCTAAACTGCACAATGTTTGAAGTGACAACAAAAGTCAGCCTGCCCTGTAAGATAGCAGAGGCTTTGGCTCTCCCCCGGGCACAGTCAACAGTCACTGACATGTGTCATCTGTCACATTCTCTCACCAAGGACAGTCTTCTGTTCGGCTGTACATCGAGGCTCAGACAACAACCCCGAGATCAGATATCTATTTCTACATTTCATCTCATTGAAGCTATTTCTGTGACCTTAGAGTTAAGCGCCACATGTTTGGCAATCCTTAATATAAAGTTCTTGCCTGTAACTTCTCACTGTGCTTCACAGATAAATCTGTCAAGGGTAATGACTGTGTAATTATAGGCAGGTGGCTAGATTGTACTTAATGAAGTCCCATAAATGCTACGTGAAGCAAACAATCAATTGTCTAGAAGATACTTGACCAGGACATCTTTTTAAATAGAAATGTGGGATCTTCAATGTCCAACCAACCAAACATGCAGGATGCCAATGACAGCACCCTCAGTAATGAAGTACTCCCTTAGATTGTCAGCCTCGGTTTAAAATATCTTGAAGGCTGTGGGACTTGAACCCACAGCCTTCTGCCCCAGAAATTAGACTGGTATCAACTGAGCCAACCCACCACCTGGATCCACTCATACCTCAGTACCGGAAATGCTGGCCCTCAAATGTATTTTGTGAATGAGATGGTTACCACAATAGGTCACATTGTGGACATTAATTCAGCATCAGAAATTAAAGTATGCAATAACTGCTCTTCTCTAAATATTAGAGACCATCAGTCTAATTGTATTTGGCCACAAGGCTCCATGAAAATATAGTACTATAGAAATTTATGACACAATGTCTGTGTCAGTTCTTTTAAGAACAATTAATTCAGTCCCATTTCCCTTCCCCCCCACAGCCTTGCTATTTACTCTGCTTTAGATATCTATCCAGTTTCTTATTGATCCTGCCTTGATCACCAAACCCACATCCTAACAACTCTCTGTGTAAAAAAAACTCTTCCTAATATCTTAAATTGATAACTCATCAACCATTTCCCTGGGGAAATAGAAGCACAAGCACAATAATAAAAATAATAATCCTTGCATTTGATACTGCACTTCTAATATTAAGTATGTCTCAAAACGTTTCACAGAAGTTTATATAAAGTGTAATGACTGTGTATGTGTAGAGGAATCCAGCAGCCAATTTACACAAACCAAGTCCCACAAATAGCCATGAAGTGAATGATCAATTTATTTGGGGGGATTATTAGCCAAGACATTGGGAGAAGCTCCCTTCTCTTTTTCGAATAGCATTATGGGAACTTTAATGTCCGTCTTAAAAATTAGATGGGACCTCGGTTTGACACCTCATCTGAAGGACAGATCATTTGCAAAAAGAATAAAAAGCATTCAGAAACCAGCAAACTACCAAAGGAAACTGCCCAGGGATGTGACAATGGGGCAGCACAAGCAAAATTCTCATTGCAAACTAGTTTGCTGCATAGGCTCAGTTTATCAATGTATGTCTTTCTTACCAAGCCTGGCTTGTGGGTAAGTCATTACATTTTCCAATAAATTAGTTACAGACTGTAGCGACTATGCATAGATTAAAGTATGACACTATTAGATAATGCTTATTGACCTTATTTTCCAGAAATCAATTTCTGCCAGTATTCGATAAGAGTTTTTTATCACACAGTGTGGATATCAACAGTGTGGGCTATGATGGGCACTGGTGTCGAGCACCACTTGCCAACCAAGTAGGCCTTGAAAAGAGAGCAAAGTCACCCCATGACCGATCAGTTTCCAGCCTGTAACTGACTCCAAATACACATTCCTCCATATATTTGTTATGATGAAACGTTAAACAAAGGTCCCATCTACCTGTTCACATGGATGACAAAGATCCTATAACACTATTTGAAAAGACAGGGGAGATTCTCTCGATGTCCTGGCCAACAAATCCCCCAAGTATAATTGGTCACTCACTCCATGGCTGCTTGTGGGACACAACTGGCTGCTGCATTTTGCCCACAAAATACACGGTCACGCCACTTTACAGTATATCCTGTGAAGCAACAACAACATCAAACAACATTTGTAGAGTGCCTTTCACGTCAGGAGGACATCCCAAGGCGCTGGACAGTCAGGGATCCACACCCGAGCTGGTGGTTGGGATCAGGAGGGGTGGAGTTTAGGAGGGTAGGGTTAGGAGGGTGACCGAAGGTATGGTCAAAGAGGAGGGTCTTGAAACAGGTCTTGAGCAACAACAACAAAATTATATTTGTATAGCACCTTCCACGTCAGGAAGATGTCCCAAAGCGTTGGACAGACAGAGTTATGGACCTGAGCTGAGGGTCGGGGTGGGGGAGGGCAGAGGGCAGGGAGATCAAAAGCACGGTCAAAGAGGAGGGTCTAGAGATGGGTCTTGAAGGTGGCGAGGGAGGGAGCGAGATGGAGGGACTGCGGGATGGAGTTCCAGAGGATGGGTGCAGAGTGGCAGAAGGCCCGACCACCAATAATGGGCGAGCAAGGTGGGGGACGTGAAGCAGGCCGGAGCCCACTGAGTGGAGGGAGTGAACAGGGGGGTAGGGGGTTAGGAAGTCGGAGAGGTAGTGGGGAGCAAGACCATGCAGGGCTTTGAAGGTGAGAACCAGGATCTTGAACTGTGTCCTCTGTGTGATGGGAAGCCAGTGGAATTGGGCAAGAATGGGGGTGATAGGGTCGCGGAGCCTAGTGCTGCAGAGTTCTGGATGATCTGCAGTCTGTGGAGGGAGGAGTTGGGGAGGCCGACAAGCAGGGAGTTTGCATAATTGAGCCTCAATGTAATGAAGGCATGTACAAGGATTTCGGTGGCCTGCAGTGTGAGACAGTGTCAGAGCCAGGCGACGTTGCGGAGGTGGGCGAAGGCAGAGTGGGACATGGTGCAGATGTGGGGTAGAAAGGATAGTTGAGGGTCGAACAAGACCCCAAGGTTCCGACTGGCTTAGCAAGGTGGAGTGTTGAAGGAGGCGAGGGAGGGGGCGAGGCGGAAAGACTGTGGGATGGAGTTCCAGAGGGTGGGGACAGAGAAGCTGAAGGCCCACCTGCCAATGGTGGGGCTGGCAAGCGAGGGCATAAAGCAGGCCGGAGCCTGGTGAGAGAAGGGTAATTGATGAAACGTAGCAGGCAATTGACACAGCAATGTCCCACAAACAGCCATGGAGTGAGTGATCAATTTTATTTTAGGTATTCTGTGGCCCAGGTCACTGGGAGAGAGAAACACCCTTCTATTTTCGAATAGGGATCTTTAACATCCATGTCCATCTGAACAAGCAAAAGGGACCTCGGTTTAATGTCTCATCTGAAGGACGGCATGTCTGACAATACAACACACCCTCAGTGCTGCACTTGAGTGTCAGCTTAGATGATGTCATTCCAAGTCCCAACGTGGGGCTTAAACCCACAATCTTCTGACACAGAGGAGGGAGTGCGACCACTATACCAGCCTGACACATGGTATTAGTTGAGGCGGGTGTATTTTTTTAAAAAGAAAAAGAAGCTAAACCATCCACGTTGCAGATCAGGAACCCATCCTGTTAGACGTCCTGGCAATGTGAGATCAATGAGCCACTGAACCGAGCAGTGGCCCCGCACGCAGAGCTCGCCACCCCGGGCTCCACCGCGCGTCAATCACCCCTTTTGAGCAGCTAAGATCATAAGTTCTTCCATTAATCTGCCCTGGGGCTGAAACGTTGCAATGAGGTCACCTAGAAGTCACTCGAGCTACCAGAAGGTTGAGAGTTGGGTTTTTATATGAGCGAGGCTTAGGGCTGAATTGGCATCAATGCACAAGCTATTTGTGACGCAAATGAGCAGCAAACACCATGAATGTGGGCATTTGAGCGACTCTGCACCAGATCTCCTCACAACCACTTCAGTAATTGGTGCAGCTCCTCAACCAGGCAGTGACAGGCTCCACCAGGGCAAGCTCCGTGTGACAGGCACCACCACAGCCATGTCAAAGTGTAAGTCTATCTCTGCTGCTTCAGTGCTCCAGCACCGTACGTTAAGGGAGAGAGCAAAGCTCAACGAGGCTTGTAGACAGCCAGCTCTGTGTGTGCGCTCTCGGTTCTCTCCAGTCTTCTCTTGATCTGCTTGAGTTGATTTGTTTAAAAAAAAAGTAGAAACAATGTTTTGTGTGTTCTCTCCCTCTTTGTGTCTCCTCGCACATCCCATTGTCAACCCCCTCAGGTTGCACGCTGATTCTTTTCCTGATCTCCCTCGGTGGCCGCTTGGACACTATGAACTCGCTTCAGACCTCCTCACTGGTCACTGTGCCAGACCTGTTTGATCGTGTAATCCAGCACTCCAGACGAATGCACGCCCTCTCCTCGGAGCTCTTCACCGAGTTTGTGAGTACAGTTTGTGGGTCCAGTGTGTGAGTACAGTTTGTGGGTACAGTGTGTAAGTACAGTTTGTGGGTACAGTGTGTGAGTAGTTTGTGGGTACAGTTTGTGAGTACAGATTGCAGGTACAGTGTGTGAGTACAATTCGTGGGTACAGTGCGTGGGTACAGTGTGTGAGTACAGTTTGTGAGTACAGATTGTGGGTACAGTGTGTGAGTACAGTGTGTGAGTACAGTTTGTGAGTACAGTGTATGAGTACAGTGTGTGGGTACAGTGTGTGAGTACAGTGTGTGAGTACAGTTTGTGGGTACAGTTTGTGAGTACAATTTGTGGGTACAGTGTGTGAGTAAGGTGTGTGAGTACAGTTTGTGGGTACAGTTTGTGAGTACAGTGTGTGAGTACAGTTTGTGGTTACAGTGTGTGAGTACAGTTTGTGAGTACAGTTTGTGGTTACAGTGTGTGAGTACAGTTTGTGGGTACAGTGTGTGAGTACAGTTTGTGGGTACAGTGTGTGAGTACAGGAACCCTTTTAGAACACCCAGTACCTCTGTCAAAGCGCAACATAGATACCTGCTTCTGTTTTTGCAAAACATAGTGGCAGGGTTCACTATGGGATCTTCAGCCTTTCTGCCCCAACCCTCTGGAACTTCATCCCTGGGACCCACCGCCTTGTCCCCTCCCTTGCCCCTTGCCTCATTCAAGGCCTGTCTCAAGACCTTGCTTTTTGACTGTGCCTTTGGTCATCTTGCCTCCTTGCCTTCGACCTCTCTGATGCCAACCCACAGATCGAGTTCAAACCCTCATTGTCTAGCACCTCGGGACAGCCTCCCGACCTGAACGACTCTATGTAAAAGCAATTTGTTGTTGTGGTTGTTGTGGCCAGCGAGTTTTTTCCACTTTCTAACCTTCACAGAGAAGGGTGTTTGGCATGGCTCTTTTTTGACTCAACCACTCAAGATGGTCAAAGGGTGAATGGCTTCAACCTGGCATCTGTTCTTTTTTGTAAAGTTTTTTAAAACAACTTGCATTTATAAAGCGCCCCTCAAGCAAGATAGGGTCCCAGTGGCAGAGCACGATGAGGTGACCGTAGGTATGGTCGAAAAGTAATATCTTCAGGCGCAACCTGAAGATGGGGAAGGAGGGGACAAGGAGGAGGGACAGAGGAAGAGTGTTCTAGAGTTTTGGGGCTGAAAGCGAGGCGACTGATGGTGAAATGGAGGGCACGAGGGACCTGCAGAAGGCCGGAGTAAGTTGAGCAGAGGCAGCGGGTGGAGAGTTGGGGAGGTTTGGGAGTAAATCGGAGAGGTAGGGAGGTCCCAGGGCATGAAGGGATTTGAAGATGAATGTGAGGATCCTGAAATCGATCTGTTCAGTGATAGGGAGTCAGTGGAGCCTGACTAAAACAGGTGTAATGGAAGTACTTTTTAATTAAAAATATTTACAGTAAACTCCTGATAACTTGTCACTACCATTTAAGTCATCAGTATCCCGGCCACATTTATTAATGTATTTATACATATGCCTAACTCACCACTCCAGATAACTCGTCATTGAGTCCTTTCCCCTCGGAGTGACGAGTTATCAGGAGCTTGCTGTAGCACTGTCAAACCTCGAGAGTGACTTGTTTATAGGTTGGCGTCAGTGTTGATGGTGTTTATTGTGACTAACAGGAACCCCAGAAGTGACGTGCAGCCTGGGAAGCTTAGAGATGCCAGTGGGTTGTACAGCATGTGGATGATTATTCAGCACTTGCCTGTGGTCGAGTCCAGTACCTGGGCTGGTGGTGGGGGGGTGCGGTTTTAGCTGCAAGTGACCGTTTTCAGCAAATCTGTCTTGTGTACACTCTGTGCCCAGATAATTTTGTACAGACCACCTGACTTAATTTGTTCAGCTGGGAATGTAACACGCATGGAAACCCATCACATGCTTAAGAGTATCCAAACCAGACTCAGAGTTCCAGCTTTGTATGTTTTTTTGTCTGCTGTAGAATGCACTCTCTGTTCCTGGAGAGACAGCAACTTGCATTTATATTGGGCCCTTCATCTAGAATAATGTCTCAGAGCACTTTGCAGTGATGGGTTCGGACACAGGACGCACTCTGCTCATCTAATCCCAGAGATTTTTGTCCAGTTTTGGCTTGCAGGGTTAATGGAAGCAGAGTGGGGAGAGTCCCTGCTCCCAGTGACTGGTCTGCTCCTGCAAGTCCTGCCGATGAGCCAGGATGGCTGGTCTGTCATCAGCAGTGCCCTGGAGGACTGTGGATGACAGAACAGGCAACTTGACTCAATAGTAAATTAATCAGAGTGAAGGCATGGGGACCCAGAGTTCGTATTGGGATAACTGCAGTTTAACCAGCTGAAACTGTGTAGTTTGCCATCAGACCCAGCGTGTGTCAGTCTGGCTTAGTTGACAGCACTCTTTCATCTGAGTCAAAAAGTTGTGAGTTCTAGCCCCACGTCAGGACTTGGGTTCACATAGTCAAAGATGACACCCCAGTGCAGTGCTGGGGGTGTTGCACTGTCGGAGTTGACGTCCCTCGGATGAGACATTAAACTGAGGTCCTGTCTGCCTGTTCAGGTGGACGTTATTCGAAAAGTGAAGGGAGTTTCTCCCAGTGCCCTGGCCAATAATTCCCCAGATAAAATTGGTCACTCACTTCATGGCTGTTTGTGAGACATGGCTATATACAAATTGGCTGCTGTGTTCACCCACAAAAAGGTCACTGCACTTTATAGTAAATCCTGTGAAGCGGATTGCAACATCCTCCTGATCTGATAAGTGTTGTATCATATGTAAGGATTATTATTATAACTTGGCAGCAGGTCTTGCACTCATAATACAAATGAATGATCAATTTATCTGGGGGATTGTTGGCCTGGACAACGGGAGAACTCCGCTCTCTTTTAGAAATTTCCACTGAATCTTTAACTGAACTGGCAGACGGGAGCTCGTTTTAACATCTCATCAGAAGGGAAACACCTCTGACAATGCAGCTCTGCCCCCAGCTTGATACAGGAGCATCAGACTGGACAGTAAACGCAAAGCTTCCGACTTGAAGCTTGAGCCCAGACTGTTGGATACCCTTTAAGAAAATAAGGACCAATTAACTAGGAGGCAGAAAAGCAGGGAGAAATGACTGGAGGGTTTTGGCGGATTGTTTGATTTGTAGCTTGTAAACTGAGAATAAAAGGGTTTTCTACACATTGAGTATTGAGAACATAACACACATGTCCTTTGACCCAGATGACCGTCTGACCCAGAAATGATAGCGTGAGTGATTGAGCTGAACAACATTATTAAATTGTGTTGTCATCTCAGGTCAGCCTGATTTAGCCCACAGCCACCACTCAAACACACTGAACCTCCAGACAGAGGTCACTGCACTGTGTTCTCACAAGCAGCTCGTTGCTGTTAGATGATGCTGTGCCTGGAAAGTGGCTCTGAGGCCAATTACACTACTCATTGACAATCCAACTGAAATGAGGGCAAATAAGGACAAGGTAGCAATCAAACAGGACTCTGACCTTTCCTGATGTGAAAGACGCTATACCAAATGCAAAGATTATTATTATGCAGCATGGAAATACCTCTGTGCTTGGAATGCACTCACTTTTTGTTGGGATGCATCCTGCTCACCTAATCCCAGAGATTAGGCACAGGTTGGCGAGACCCAAGCCTTGTGGGACCCCTCAATGTGCCTTCTATTTGCTCAACACAGGCCATCCAACCCAACAGGACCTTGGCAAATAGGCTCCCCCCACCCCCCCCACTCACTGGAGTCACTGAGAGAATAATAACCACAAAATTGGGCTTTATCTTCAGTTCTGTGCTGATTGCTGGATGGAGTTCTACCTTACGAATCCAAGTCAGAAGCTTGTTGGTTCAAGCCCCACATCAGGACTTTGAGCTCCCAGTGTAACCTGAGACTCCAGTGTAGTGCTCTGCATTGCCGAATGTTCCTCCCTGCAGATGAAACATTGAACCGAGGTCCTGTCTGCCTGTTCAAGTGGACTTTTAAGATCCCATGAAAATGAGAAGGGAGTTTCTCATGGTGTCCTGGCTAACAATCATCCAAATAAAATTGGTCATTCACTTCATGGCTGTTTATGGGGCATTGCTGTGCACAAACTGGCTGCTGCGTTTGCCTGCAAAATACACAGCTACGACATTTGACACTGAGTACTTGTGAAGCACTTGGGGATGTTTTGATGCGTAGGCAATGTATCGAGGATCCAGTGTGAGGATTCAGACGTTGTTCAACGATTCACAGAAAGTTTCAGCACAGATAGAGCCATTTGATATGCATGAATCCCCATGTTAATTGTTTCTTTCTTCCCTTCTCTGCAGGAAAAGTACCTGCTGCCCAGCATCAACCACCTGGACAGATCTCCGCACCGGTGCCACACTGCCAGGATCCTGACTCCGAATGGGAAAGAGAATGCTCAAAGAACCCCTGTAAGCGAACTCTTGGTTAACGGACGATGAATTCAGAGCTCTTTGTTCAGTAGTTGTTTACCGTGGCTACAGTTTACTTTTACACAAAACATTGACAAGGCGGGGAAGGTGGGGGGGTTGAGGGATGGGGCGGGGCAAGGTCTATTTTGTTTCTTCATAAGTAATCTGGATGTGAATTGTACCTCTGGTTGTTACACATTATGCCCAGGATGTCCTCCCTTCCAGAGTTCCAGAATGGGAAATGCTATTCCAGGAGTCATCGAGCCAGCCTTTCTCTGTCTTCTTTGGTAGACATGAAATTAGTGTCTCAGTGGAAAAAGGAACAATTTGGGAGAAATCCCATCCGGGTTTAAGTTGCCTCCTTCAAGGCCTGGGTCAAGACCTTCCTCTTCAACCGCACCTTCGGTCGCTCTCCTACCCTACTCTCCCTACCCTTCTGATCCCAACCCCCAGCATATCCTTGACTGTCCAACACTTTTGAACGTCCTCCCGATGTGAAAGGCGTTAATCTTATTTTACCCTCAAGTGATATTTTGCCCACAAAATGTAGTCAATTCACTTTACAGTATAGACTGTGAAGAGCTTTGAGACGTCTCGAAGATGTGATAAGGCGCTATATCAAATGCAAGGATTATTATTATTATTTCAGACTATCTAGAATTGGGAAAATTGTTGAATTCAGTGGTACTTTGAAGCCGGTTCCTAAAAGAAACATACAGAAAACCGGCTTCAAAACTTCAGGGTGTGTTTAAGAACTAAATGCTGGACGCTCAGAAATGTTGCATGAATTGAGTAAATCTAGACCCAGATGGGATTTTACTTTCCCCCCAACTCCCTCCTAACAGTGTTGGTAGGTGATACAGAGTTGAACTGTTGATGGAATGGCTGTGAGCAAAGGAAACGGGCACACCATCAAACCAACTCAGAAGAAGACCATGTATGTATCAGCCTGGCACAAGGTGGCGCTCTCGCCTCTGAGTCAGAAAGTTGTGGGTTCAAGCCCCATGTCGGGAATTGGAATCATATGGTCTTAGATGACATTCCATTGCGGTATTGGGGGTGTTCAGCGTTGTGAGAAATGCCGTCCTTCAGATGAGATATTAAACTGAGGTCCTGGCTGCCAGTTGACAAAGAGAAGGGAATTTCTAATCTCCTGGTGTCCTGGCCAACAATCTCCGAAATAACATTGGTCACTCTCTCCATGGCTGTTTGTGGGACATTGCTTTGTGCAACTGGCTGCTGCATTTCACCCACAAAATACAGTCAATCCACTTCACAGTATATTCTGTGATGCGCTATGAGACGTCTCGCCAACATGATAAAGCGCTATATTAAATGCAAGGATTATTATTATTGTTATTCGGGACATCGTATTTGTGGCGACTTCTCTTTTAGTGAGGGATCGTTTCAGTCCCATTTATCTGCCCTTTCCCGTGTATCCATATTCCACGAGAGCAACGTGCAACCGTCCTTTTACAGAGGGAGGAGTTGACGGAGGTGATCTTGAGGCTGCTGTTTGCCTGGCGAGAGCCTCTGATGCACTTTCACCAGAACCTGCACCATTCTAAGGACTACTCCAGTGCCAGCCACAGGAAGGCCAAGCAAATGAGCGAGATGGTGCATGAGCTGAACCATGGGGTGGAAATACTGACCGAGAAGGTAAGACTTCTTTACCGCTGTACCTCAAAAATGTCCGTGCCCCCCTCACCCCCCCCCACCTCACTACCCACAATTGAACTCACCCGGTCTCATCCACCCTGACTGTCCTTCTCTCACACTCTACGGTAGTAATTTCTCAGAAAATTAAATCAAGGGCTGCAGAAAATCAACTTGAAAGAAAAGGGAGTTTTTCCAGATGTCTGGACGACAACCCACCCTTCCCCTCCCGGCCCTGTTTGTGGGACATTACTGTGCGCAAATTGGCTGCTGCGTTTGCCTGAAAATACACAGTTAGTGCGCTTTATAGTAACTCCTTTGAAACGCTTTGAGACATCCTCCCGATATGTTAAGGTGCTGTGTCAAATGCAAAACCATGGAAATGCAGGGACTTTACTTCGCTCAACGATGGAGGCTCTACAGCTGGTACTCAGTGAACCAAAACTCTGGAGAGGAAGATTCCCCATCCCCCTGCACACACCCTGGCTTTCCCGTTTCAAATCACTATCCTATGACCCTTCCTCCCCACCCCCCCACCACCCCCACCCCTGGATTGGTGCGAGGTAGAGGGACTCTGGATGAAGTTCCAGAGGGTGGGAGCAGAAAAGCTGAAGGCACGACTGGCGATGGTGGGGTGGGCAAGGCAGGGGACGAGAAGCAGGCCAGTGCCCACTGAACAGGGGGTGACAGACCCACTGGGTGGGGGCAGGGAGGGGGTACGGTGGAGCAGGGGAACGTTGCTCGCTGCTTGTTGTATGAAGCTCTGTGCTGGGTGCTGCTGGCCGGGGGCTCTCAGTGTGGTCTTAATGTATATTTTGAATTGATGACAGATCCAGTTGCTGGGGGAGGTGAGTAATTCCCTGAGAGGCTTGTGGGTTAGAGACCATCAAGGCAGCAGGGCCATGAGTGACTACCAGCTGTTGCACTGCTTCAGGAGAGATTCCAACAAGGTCCAGAATTACCTGAAAATCCTCAAGTGTCGAGTCCTGCCAGAGCCCAGCTGCTGAGATATCTCTCTCTCTCTCTCTCTCCAGGACTCTCTCCCTGTCTGTTTTTCTCTCCCTCCTCTTTTCTATCTTTCTCACTCCATGTTCTTTTCTCCCTCTCTCCGCGCTCTCTCTTCTCTTTCTCCCCTGTCTCTTTCCCTTTCTACTCTCTTCCCTCTCTAATAATCTCTTTTCTCTCTCACTCTCACCCCTCTATTCTCTCCTTCCCTCTCTCTCCCTTGTTTCACTCTCTTCTCTCTCTCTCTCTCACTCCCTTTCTCTTTCAACTCTCTCCTCCCTCTCTCTGATGATGTCCACATGTCTCATCTGTGTTTTTTGTGCTGCCCATATTCTGACTGCAGGTTTGACCAAACCCAGGAATGGTTGGGGCTGCACACATGCTCAGACTATGTGATCTCTTGAACCATTCTTATTTGAACCATGGAATCCTGTAGCGTAGCGGTTAGTTCACTTATTCCATTCCTGGGCAGGGCGAAATCTCAGGCAAGTTTCCTTACTCCACATGCCTCTGTTTACCTAGCAGTGAGTAGGAACCCGATTACTAGTTGATTGGTGGATCGCTTTCAAGGGGTAATAATCCCTCAAAAAACAGGTTGGTCACTCAATCCTTGGCTCTTTGTAGGACACTGCTGTGCGCAATTGCTGCCGCGTTTTGCCCACAAAATGCACAGTCAATTCACTTTACAATATATTCTGTGAAGTGTTTTGAGACGTCTCAACGACATGATAAGGCACTATATCAAATACAAGGATTATTATTATTATCTCCCACTGCATGGAGCTCTCGGGTCAATCTCAGCCACATGAGCAGAGGGTCAGTAGAGGGAGGGACTGAGGCGACACCAGAAATACCTGTCATGTTCCCTGGATGTTTGACTCCCAATTGCTGCAACCCCCACTCAATATTGTCCCTTCTATCACGTCTCCACAACCTCCTGCCAACCACACTGTGGCAGGTCCCATCTCCTCACAGGCTCCAACTTTTGCAAGTTGAGAACTTTTCCTTTGGAGGGGCTGAACTGGCTCCAAGTTGACATGCTTAGCAATGGAATGTGGGAGTCGAGCCAGCTATATGGGGTGGTCTCAGCGGTCCACAGTACTTCAGGGCACTGGTGATGACAGCTTGGCTCATCAGCAGGACTTGGAAGGCCAGACCAGTAACTGGGGGCAAGAAATCCTCCCACACAGGGGTGGAGATGGATGATGGAGTGGGAGAGGGTACCAAGCAGACCCCAATGACATTATTTTTATGAAGAAAATGGTGCTTTTAGTGACCTCGGAAGGGCTAAATGGAGCCATCAGGATTGGAACATGGAACGACTAAGTTACTCAGTGGTGGTATCATTAAATGAAGAGGGAGAGCTGGGGGGGTGATTGATTGAGAAAAGTGGGAGGGGTTGGGGGAGAGAGTGGGGGGAGGGACCCTCTGAGGCTGGGGTGGGGGATTGGGGGCTGTAGTGCCCACTCTCTCACGAGGTCTGGGTTCAGGACATTTTGGAGAGGGGGTGAGTGTGAAATTTTGTTTGCGTCCAGACTTATTTATTCTTCTTAAGGAGGACCTGCAGAAACATAATGGCTTTGAATCTGAGACTGAATTAAAGAATTGTCCAAAAGTTTCACCCTCTGAAAATGCTAACACAAGGAGAGGTGTGTATATGAGGTGGGGGTGGGGGATACGTGAAGCGCTTTGAGATGTCTCGAAGACGTGATAAGGCGCTATATCAAATGCAAGGATTATTATTATTGGTGGAGTAAAATATCCTCCATTTTAAAATCTATTACAAACATCTTTAGATTTAACATCTATTACAAACTTGCACTTCAGGTTTGTTGAAATGTAAAAAAAATCATTAAACATGTCGTGGAATATAATCTACAAATGTACAGAATATAAAGTAATAAACAGAATCTTATCAATAACTCTGGATTGTCTCATGGTAAGGAAGATCAAGTATTTTTGTAGTGTCAAAAATGTCTTAAACTGCTCTGCGGTAATTACTATCTGGTGTAGTGACTGTTTTTATAGGCAAACCGTTGCACCCAGGTCTAGATTTTCCCTATGTTCTGTTTTTGAGGGTGCAGAATTTGGGAAATTTGGAGGTGGTAAACTGCTAACATGGCATCTTATTCCCTTCTCCCTGGAATTATCCACCGGGTCGAGAAATTACTGGGTGGGATATTGTGCAACTGGGGGAAAGGATCTCTTATGGGGACCAAGTCAACCCTAGCTGTGATATCAGATCTGAACACAAGGAGGCGTCAGTCACTGCACACTCACAAATCGGTGCCTTTTCAACCTGTTATTTTTCTCAACAAGATTTAAAAATCATAAAATTCCCTGTTCACAACGAAAGGTTAACTCTGCAATTAAAATTCACTGATATAAAAACAGCGGGTAATTAAACCAGGGAGGGCAAGGCTGTGGCTTGTGGACCTGCCCTGGATTAACAGGCAGCTCTGCAGTCTGGCAGTCAGTCCATACACTGTGTGTCTAGCTGTCCTATCTTTCTGTTAGTCTATCTGTCTTTCTGTCTGTCAGTCAGTTTATCTGTCTTCTGTCAGACTTTCCATCTGTACAATCCACATTTTTATAATCTTCTGTGTGAAGAAATGTTTTCTGATCTCACTTCGAACAATTTAGGTCTAAGATGACAACCAGTGTTTTGGACCTGCCTCCCAGAGAAAATCATCATCCACTATCTAACCTGTCCTCCAGCAGCATCTCCTTGGGTTGGGGGAGGGGAGGAAAGTGGAACTGGAGCTGGCGACAGAATGTTATGATCAAGTCAACCCCCTGTGATGGTCCTGAGTTAGGTGGGTCTGCAGTACCCAGGGCACTGCTGGTCCCAGACAAGCCTGGCTCATCGGTAAAATTTGGATGGACACATCATTGGGGGCAGGGATTCTTCCCACTCAGCTTCTATTAACCCCGCATGCCAAAACCCTAAAGGGTAGAGTGGTCCTAGCTGGACAAGCAGGATAAGCTTGCCAGACAGTGCTCTTAATGGTAAGCTATGCAATTTAGGTGATTAAACTCCAGTGGTACTATTAACATACACTCTGTGGTTCCCAAGCCTTGGCTTTTGCTAATCTTTGACTAATACTATCCATAATTAGGTAAGTAGGATGTGTCCCTCCAGGGAGAGAGGGCACATTCCATTCCAGACACAGAGGAATTTCCGTATGTAGGTGGTATACATATATGGAGCTCTCAGTCTCAATATTCATAAGCATGGTGATGGGTTTTTGCACTTGTCAGACACTCGCCAAAAGACAAATATAGCTTGGCAACTACGATCATTGCATGTCAATCAGATTACCTCGCTCCGAGGAATAGAGCTCAAATGAAAGAAAGGGTGGACTTTTACTCAGCATTGTGCATTTCTCACAGTGTTGTCAACATAGCTGTCGGCCTGGCTCAGTGGGTAGCACTCTTGTCTATGAGTAAGAAAGTTGTGGGTTCACGACCCATGGCGGGACTTTGAACTCACAGTTTAGACTGACACTCCAGTGCATTGCTGGGGAAGTTCTACATTGTCAAAGGTGCGTGCTTTGAATGAGATGTTAAACCGAGGTCCCGGCTGAAGTTCAGGTGTACGTTAATGATTCCATGGCACTATTCAAAAAGAGAAGGGAGTTTCTCCCCGTGTCCTGGCCAACAATCCTCCAAATAAAATTGGTCACTCACTCCATAGCTATTTGTGGGACATTGTTGTGCACAAAAGGGCTGCTGCGTTTCACCCACAAAATGCACAATCAATCCACTTTACATATATCCTGTGAAGTGTTTTGAGACGTCTCGATGTGATAAGGCATGGATTATTATTTACTATTATTATTGTTGAGTCCAGGACACAGAAATGGCTCGATGCAGCAATGGGAGTATGGGTGGTGTGGGTGCTCTGGAAGAATGAGGTCAAAAGGGATGAAAGGGGTGATTCTTCACCCTAATCAATTTTTTCATCTGCTGTGATCTCTCGGAATGTAATAATAATAATCCTTTTGCATTTAATATAGCGCCTTATCAATTCTTCGAGATGTCTCAAAGCGCTTCACAGAATGTACTGTAAAGTGAATTGACTATATTTTGTGGGGAAAATGTGGCAGCCAATTGTGCACAGCAGAGTCCCACAAACATCGTAGATTGAGTGTCCAATTTTTTTTAGCTCTTGTTTTGGGATCTCTTGTTATCTTTGTGATCACTTGCGATCCAGGGAGCTCCATTGATCTCTTATGATCTTGTGATCTCTTGTGTCAACTGAATGACCCTGAATGCTGAATGACTTGGATAATGTGGAGGTGAATGAGCAGTGAGGCCCATAGACCATGTGTACACCTCAGAAAAAAGATGCCCTCTTCAGGGCAAACAAGGTAATGGAGAGGGCGGAGGGAGAATTGTAAATTACGATTCACTGTTCAAACATTTTAAAAGAAGGTATTTTTCCTTCAATACAAGTTAGAATGTCTGGTTCACTGTCCCCAGCCCACAATACAGAGCCTGTGCTCCCTGTACCAGCCACCCACTCAACTCCACCCAATTGGGTTTGGCCAGGACAATAAGGACTTAGTGTGGGATTTCCGGAACGTTCTGAAAACATACTCCGGACACTTAAAGTCTGTGTTATTTTTAAACACTAAAGTCTATTTTTTATTTGTGCACCACTCACATCTGTGTCTAATAACCGGAGCTAGTGGTGTGAAAGGTCCCAGCCCCATCCTCTCCCCACCCCCACACTATGGGTGGTTAATGAGCTGGGCCAATAGAAAAGTGTGGAAATATTTGCCCCAAATTGCAGAGAGATTTGCCAATTTTGGGGAAATTTGTGGGGCCATTTTTAGCAAATTTTACAGAAAATGGTGGGAAATGATTGGTACTATTAATGTACATTTTACTGCCAACCTACATTTTTTCATTTTATTGATCAAAACTAAACATTAGGAAATAACACATATTAGATTTTTGAAAAAAAATTAATTGTTTCTTTAACAAAAACTAGGTGGCCTTTTTTTTGGGGGGTGGGGGTTCAGGAGCTCTCAGGGCCTACCAATACACACAGATCAAGAGAGAGAGACACACAGAGACATAGAGACACACACACACACACAGTCAGAGACACACAAACACAGACAGACAGAGAGACACACACTCAGAGACACAGAGAGACACACATTCAGAAACACAGAGACACACACTCACAGACACAGAGAGACGACATTTGCACAGAGCCACTCACAAACACATAGAGAAACACACACATTCACACCCACAAACACACAGAGGCAAGGAATACACAGATATACTCACACAGACACTCACAAACAGAGAGACACACACACACACACAGACACTCACAAACAGAGAGAGACACACACAGACGCTCACAAATGCACATAGAGATAAACACACAGAAAACCATACACACTCACACACAGACAATCATACACAAACGCTCACACTCAGACGATCATACACACTCACACTCTCTCACACAGACAATCACAACTCCGGGTCTCCCAGTGAAGCCCATTTGCTGTTTGTGCCGCACCATGTATGCGGTTTCTCAGCCACCCCACCCACAGTGACGTCAGTTAAACTACATTTACAGCGCCTTGGGACGTCCTCCTGACGTGAAAGGCGCTCAATAAATGGAATCTTGTTGTTGTTGTTTGTAGCAGAGGAGGATGTTTGTAGCGGATTCCGCGGGAAAAGTGCAGCATCTATTGGCCCGGGTAATGAAGTAACAGCATTAACTGCATGTTAGCCCCTCCTCACCCCAATCCCCCACACACAGACTTCCTTCCGTCCTTCTACTCCTGTGGCTTTCACACTAACCCGCATTCTGGGTAGATGTGAGTCTGACTTCCAATTCCAGTCCCATGCTCAGGTAATGTTCTATATCAAACACACCTGGCTGGGTTGGTAGCATGCTCTGCTCCGGGTCAGAAGGTTGCGGGTTCAAGCCTCTACCTCACAACTTGGAACTCACATTGTCTAAGCTGACACTCCAGCGCAGTGCTGGGGGAACACTACACTGTCCTTTGGTTTAGACGTTAAACCAAGGTCCCGGCTGCCAGTTCAGGTGAATGTTAAAGGTCCAATGGCTGCTGTTCAAATAGAGAAGACACAAGATTGATCTTAACCCTCCAGAACACCCTCCTTATATAAGAACATAAAAAATGCTAGACGAAAAAATACCAAGGTCCATCTAGTTCACCTTCCTGGCGGTCACATGCACATATTGCCCAAAACTACCTATGTACTGTATCCCATAATGTTATTTCCTAAAAGAAAGCGATCTAATTTGTGTTTGAAAGGATCAACACTTCCTGCTTCAACTGTCTCCCTAGGGAGTTGTTCCCCATCTCCCCATCACTGCATCAAGATGATTATAAGTCCAGTGTCCTGGCCTCTACCACCAATTGTTGATTACCCTCTGTATAAAGAGAAACTTCCTGGTATCTGTCCTGAAATTGCTCTTTACAAGTCTAAACCTAGGTATCATGACAATAAAACAATAAATCTCATTTTCATGTCATGATACATCCTAAAGAAATGATCTGGGTGTAATTCTTCAATCCTATTTAACATTTTGTACATTTCTAGCGAGGGCATCTTCGCTCAAGACTGAAGAGCCTTAGCTTGTCTAATTGATGCACATAATTTGGGCCAATAGAAAGGCACATAATTTTTTCCCGTAATCCGCTACAAACAAACCCACCTCTACAAATAACCCCCTCTGCTACATACCTCAGTAAAATCACACTAATCTTGGGGCCCCAGGCCTCTGTGCGCTGCTGCCGGCTGTCTACTTGACGCTACTGTGGGTGGAGCAGCTCTGGATACGCTGTGCGAGCAGGAATTGGGCTTCGCTTCACCCTGAGGCCCTGTTGTTGAGATTATCTGTGTGTCTCTCTCCTCTGTATATGTGTGTGTATCTCTGTGTCTGTGAGTATGTATGTCTTTCTGTATCTTTGAGTGTATATGTTTGATCGTGTCTCCCTCTGTGTCTGTGAGTGTGTGTGTGTCTTTCTTTCTGTGAGGGTGTATCTCTTTCTCTGTATCTGTGTGTGTCTCTGTGTCTCTCTCTGCATCTGTGTGCTGTGGTAGGCCCCGAGAGGTAGGAGGTGGGGACCTCTTGGAGCCCCTCAGTCAGGACTTATCCCCCATCCCCCCTCCCACCGAGTGGATCACTCAGATTTGTTAAAGAAAACATTACTCATTATTTTTGCAACGCTCTAATATAATAACCTTGCGTTTTGATATGTGTTATTTCTTCATGTTTAGTTTTTATCAACAAAATGATAAAATATAGGTTGACAGTAAAATGGACCTAAATAGCACCAATAAACCCCTGCAATTTCTACAAAAAATTGGCAAATTTCCAAGCAATGTTTGGCAAATATTTACGCAGTTTTCTATTGGCCCTACTCATGGTTCATTCCTCTAACACTGGGCATCATTGTGGTTGTTTTCCTCTGTACCACCACGAGGACCTGGCCAGCCCTTTTATGTCGCGGAGACCAGAACTGTACGCAGTATTCATTGGTCTCAAGACCTTTCTCTTTGAACGAGCCTTCAGCTCCCCTCTCGACTCTCTACCCCCCTCCTCGCTCCCTCCCTTCCCTCACCCTGACCATTTCCCTCCTCGCTCCCTCCCTTCCCTCCCCTCACCCTGACCATTTCCCCCCCAATGCTCGGGTCCCGACCCAACTGTCCAGCGCCTTGGGACGTCCTCCCGACGTGAAAGGCGCTCTATAAATGAAATCATGTTGTTGTTGTTGTTGTTGTTGTATTCAAGCTGTGTTCTGACCAGAGCCCGAGAGCGATGTCTGGGGATCTAAACTCAACCGATTTAACGATATGTTCCGTTTGCCTTGTTTATTTGCTGTCTCACATTGTTTGGGCACAGAGGGCGAGGAGTCAACTCAAACCTCTGATATCTCTGAGCTTTCCCCAGTGGTGAGAGTTCAATCCCATCCACTCCAGTCCTTGTGTTTCCTATTCTGAGGTACTGTATGTGGTGTCTGTCTGACAATGATCAGTAACCGGAATTAAACTTCATTTGTTCCCGTCAGACAATCCCCCACATAACATCGGCTGTTTGTGGGACACATCAGCTGCCTCCCTCGATGGTGTGCAGTCACCGCACCTTACGGTGAGTCCTGTGAAGCGCTTTGACACGTCCCTCTGCTCTGGAGGCGCTGTGCCAAACGCGAGGATATGGGTGAACAGCAGCGACGGCTGTGTTTACAGCTCCTCACCGGGAGGTGGCAGTGTGCGGGCAGTGGTGGGCGGGCCCTCTCGGCGGCGCGCTCCTCCTTGGTGTGCGCGATGCACTCTGGGGGTTGTAGTGCGGGGGCGGCTGTCTGGTGCCCGCAGACCCCGGGAGGAGACTACAAACCCCGAGAGCTCCGGGAGTGGGGGCGAGAGACACGATGCTGTGACCGCTGGCCTGGCCTGGGCAGAGGAGAGGTCCCGGCGCCCACCTTATATTAACCTTCCCGGGGACTTGACAGCAGCTCAGACACCAGCTGCCCCGACACCTCGGGAGGGAGGGAGCGCGAGAGAGAGAGAGTGAGTGAGTGAGAGGGACAGAGAGAGAGAGAGAGAGAGTGAGTGACAGAGACAGAGTGAGAGGGACAGAGAGAGAGAGAGAGAGTGAGTGACAGAGACAGAGTGAGAGGGACAGAGAGAGAGTGAGAGGGACAGAGAGAGAGTGAGAGGGACAGAGAGAGAGTGAGTGAGTGAGTGAGAGGGACAGAGAGAGAGAGAGTGAGTGACAGAGACAGAGTGAGAGGGACAGAGAGAGAGAGAGAGAGAGAGTGAGTGACAGAGACAGAGTGAGAGGGACAGAGAGAGAGTGAAAGGGACAGAGAGAGAGTGAGAGGGACAGAGAGAGAGTGAGTGACAGGGACAGAGAGAGAGTGAGAGCGCGATGGACAGAGAGAGTGAGAGCGCGATGGACAGAGAGAGAGAGTGAGAGTGCGATGGACAGAGAGTGAGTGAGAGGGACAGAGAGAGAGAGAGAGTGAGTGACAGGGACAGAGTGAGAGGGACAGAGAGAGAGTGAGAGGGACAGAGAGAGTGAGAGGGAAAGAGAGAGAGTGAGAGAGTGACAGGGACAGAGAGTGAGTGAGAGGGACAGAGAGAGAGTGAGTGAATGACAGGGACAGAGAGAGAGTGAGAGGGACAGAGAGAGAGTGAGAGGGACAGAGAGAGTGAGGAGGGACAGAGAGAGAGCGCACGCGCGAGAGAGATAGTGAGTGACAGGGACAGAGAGAGAGGGACAGAGAGAGAGGGACAGAGAGAGTGAGAGGGACAGAGAGAGTGAGAGGGACAAAGAGGGAGTGAGAGAGACAGAGAGAGTGAGAGGGACAAAGAGAGTGAGAGGGACAGAGAGAGTGAGAGGGACAGAGAGAGTGACAGGGACAGAGAGAGGGGACAGAGAGAGTGAGATAGGGACAGAGAGTGAACGTGTGTGTAGGAGCAAGACAGTGAATGTGAAAGAGAGACAGTGAATGTCTTGGAGACAGAGAGAGTGAACCTGTGAGACTGAAAGAGAGGACGTGTAAGACAGGGAGAGAGGGAAGGTGTGAGAGAGTGAGGCGGAGGGGGGCTGTGAGGGGCACAGGTTGCCTCGGACGTGGAGACGATGGAGCCCGAGGTGTTGGACAAACAGCAGCAGGTGACGGACTGCTGGAAATGCTCTGTCTTGTACCTGTGCTTCTACGGCTTCATGGCTCAGATTAAACCTGCCGAGAGCTTCATCACCCCATATCTACTCGGCCCAGACAAGAACTTCACCAAAGAGCAGGTAATAAACAGGTACATACACATCAGAGCCATAGCGACAGGGGGCGAGAGATGGGGAGACACAGAGATGATGGGGAGAGGGGAGGCAAGAGGTGGGGGGAGAGGGGGCGCAAGAGGAGGGGGCGGGGTGGGGGGGATTGACAGAGAGCTGTGTCTGGGCTGGAGGTGAATGTGCTTCTCATACGGTGATGTCCAATGTTCCTCACATTCAATGCTTCACATTGATTCCTGGTGCAGTTTACTCACTCACTATCGTTCTCGTCACTCACAGTCCAAGCTGACACTCCTGTGGACTGTTGGGGAGTTTTTGTGCTCCTGGTATTGTGTGAGGTGCTGTCCCTCTGTCCCACTGGTGCTCTCTAACCCCATTCCCTGCTCTTTCCCTTTCGTTTCTGTGATGGTGCCTGCCCCCCGGAACCCTCTACTGTAACCTCGCTCCCCCCACTGGAGCTTTCTACTCTAACTCCATTCCTCTGCTATCTCCCCCATGTGGAGTCCTGTAGCTCAGTGGTTAGAGCACTCGCTTTGCAAGCGAGAGACCTGAGTTCAATTCCAGGCACAGGGCGAAACCTTGGGCAAGTTTCCTTACTCCACACAGAGCCTAATAATAATCCCTCCAAAAACCAAAAACAATAATTAAATTGGTCATTTTCAATCTACGACTGTTTGTGGGATATTGCTGTGCGCAATTGGCTGCCGCGTTCGCCCACAAATATACAGTCAATTCACTTTACAGTGTGTTCTGTGAAGCGCTTTGGGACGACCTCCCGACGTGAAAAACGCTGTATCAAATGCAAGGATTATTATTATTATTATTACTGTGTGTGGTACTTGCCCCCCAGCTCTCTACTCTAATCCATTCCCCTGGTATTTCCCCATTGTGTCCATGCTGGTACTCACTCCCTCAGTGGAGATTTCTTTTGTAATCCATTCCCTTATTCTTCCAGTTTCCTAAGATTAATGTCTTTAAGTATTGATCCAGTGACCATTAACTACTGTAATGGATTCAGGTGTAACAGTCATCGTGGTGAGGAAATCCGTATCCCAGTAAGTTAAAAAAGCCTTTCCTTTAAACACCAGTTTTTCCTGCTGGTGATAAACCTCAGTAAATGTCCTTTTGTTGCTGAATCCATCATTGAAAAATCTATTTATTTACTACTAGAGAGAAATAGTAATAGAGAAATAGCTATGCTTGCAACCAAAGGATCCAATATGGAATATAGATTGACACACAGACACACATTTTGTCTTTATCTATACTCAGCTGGGAGGACTATTGTGGGAGGACTCCCATCAAAGCTACGTTAACCAAAGGGGTTTACTGTGTGATCTGGCAGGACCTCGAGTTATTGCAAGGCAAAATACTGCCATACATTTGCTGCAGAATATGTTAATATAGATCTCTTTAAAAGAGTACTTTGTTGCAGAAACCATATTTTGGGGCTTAATTGAAGCATTTTTTAAATATAGCTCATCAACGATAGGAGATTCCCAAAAAAGAATGGCCATGACACTCACTCATGCGAGACCCTTCCGATGAAGTATACATCATGTCTTTACGTCAATCGGTTATTACGTTGTTGGCGAATACACAGACAGACACACAGACACTTTGTCTTTATTAGTATCGTATAAGCCATTGGCGAATTTGAAAACCTTGATTTGATTTGCTCTGTTCCTTAGTCTTTTCTGTCCCAGCGATAAAAGCCTCAACCTCTGTATTTATATCTCGAAGCTCTGAGATCAGCGACCGCCTGAGTAATTCTCAGCCGTACCCTTTCTGTGGCCTGATATTACGCCCATTTTTAGCTGATATAGCCTAAAGATGACATGCACTTACTACAAGGTTGTTTGTTGGATATTGCTGTATCAAATCGGCTGTTGCATTTGCCTACAAATCCAGTCACTGCACTTCACAGTAAAATCCTGTGAGGCGCTTTGAAACGTCATCCTGACATGATAACACAATGCATGAAATGTAAGGATTATTATTTATAAAGTCATTTTACCCTAAATTTTAAGATCACACAGAAATGTACAGAGTTCTTAAATCCAGCCTTAATTTGGAAACAGTTTTTCCCCCTTGATTCTTAAATAGAAACCAACTTCCAAATTAAGACCTGGCTCTTGGTGGGATGTTCCTTGATATGTCAGATGTACTGAGTGAACAGTCGCAGAAGGTTCTGTACCCTCTCAGAGTAGTTTCAATGTAATCAGCGTAACATGGCTATAAAGGTTCCGGTCATGTGAAAGAACGTCCTGAGGTGGGTGGGATCTGGGGGAAGGTTAGTCAAATGCACAGTCAAAGGAATAGGTTTCTGCACGAGTTTTGAGTCAGCTTGCTTTGGAAACTTAAAACATGGTGATGGTTTCCCACATGTGTCAGATACCTGGCTGACCAAAAAGAGAAAGAGGAAGGAGGTGAGATAGGGTGATTTATGAAATAATCCTTACATTAGGTGCAGCATCTTTCACTTCAGGACGATGTCTCAAAGTGCTTCACAGAATATTCTGGAAAGTGCTCTCAATGGCAAGCTATGTGGTTTTAGCTGGTTAGAGTCCAGTAATTACCTCAACGCACTAATACTCTCTGGAATTAGGTAAGCAGGATGCATCCCTCCAGGGAGAGTGCGCACATTCCATTCGAATAAATACCTGGGGAGTTTCCATGTGTATGTGGGATGCATGGAGTTCTCAGTCAGGTTTGGATACTCTTTAAGCATGATGATGGATTTCTGTCAGAAACCTGGCTGACCAAAAAAAAACTATAAAGTGCAGTGAATGTGTATTTTGTAGGTGACTGGCAGCCAAGTTATGCACAGCAATGTCCTACAAACAGTCATGGAGTGAGTGACCAATTTTATCTGTGGGCTTAAACACAAAATACTGCAGACGCTGGAAATCTGAAACAAAGACAGAAATCGCTGGGAACACTCAGCGGGTCAGGCAGCATCTATGGAGAAAGGAAAGTAAGTCAACCTTTCGGGTCCATGACCCTTCGTCAGAACAGGTTGAAGTGAGGGGAGAGGAAAGGTGGATAAAGTGGGAGGGAGGGTGGGTGAAGTTTGGTTGAATCGGGGAGGGAGAAACACTTTTCTTTTCGAATAGCGCCAGAGGCTCACTAAGGAAGTAGCTGAGCTCCAAGCTTTTCGAGATTTAAACAGTTGAGGATTTTAACACTGGAATAGCAAAGGTTAAGGGGGTGGAGAGAATTGAATTAAAGTTTTCAAACTCTGAAACAGATTACTGGTAAATAAATAATAATCCTTGCATTTATCATGCGCCTTATGTCATTGAGACGTGTCAAAGTGCTTCACAGAATATACAGGGAATTTTATGTGCGAAACATGGCAGCCAACTGCGCAGAAATAGGCTTTCACTGATGGAGTCAGGAAAAGAAGGCGTTCAGAGAAAAGGCTTTTTTACAGACTTATTAGGATACGGTTTTTCTCACCACAGTGTCTGTTGCACCTCAGTCCATAACAGCAATCAGTAGTCACTGGATGAATACTTGAAGATGTTAATCTGAAAGAATATAGGAAATGAGCTGGGGAATGGATTAGAGTAGAGCTCCAGTGGGGGAGCGAGCACTAGCACTAACATGAAGGGCCACGTTCTGTACTGTTAATATACTGGGCGAAGTTCACCGGAGGCCAGTGTTGATGGGCAGGAGAACTGCAGTTGCCAAGTTGTCAGTCATGTCCCTGTAATGATTAACTTCAACTCTTTCTCAGTTCAGCACCTTCCATTTCAGTGTAATGAATCCCTTAAATCCTGCTGACTATGCACAAATTAGTACGTCCGTTTCCAGCCATTCTACGGGAGACGCTGATCATTAGATTGTACCTTAATCTCCTGAAGTGGAGTAAAGGTCCTCTCTGTGCCTGTTCAGGTGAACTTAAAAGTCTCATTACACTGCTGGAAACCAGAAGCAAGTTTCTCCTGGGGTCCCGGACAACAATGTTTGTACACGATGGTGACATCGAGGGAGGCAAGGATTGACAGATGAGGGGATGATGCCTCTTACACTGTGTTGTGGGTGGTGGAAAGGTAGAATTTGATCTAGGAGATACAGCGGCTGGTGACTGGAAGGTGAGGACAAAGAGGAACTCTGTTACAGTGAGAGAAGGGATAAGAGATGGAGACGGAGCCACTCAACGGCCACTCGACCATACAGAGCATCACAGCTAAGACCCAATCCCGTTTTCCTTTGACAGCCCAATGAACTTACCTTCCAGCAAACAGGAACAGATCCTGGTTGTCTCTCAAGCAAGTTGGAAGCTGAGTGTGAGCAGCTGCTGGGCTGGTACATTCATGGTCCGTACAGCTCACTGGCCGGCACTGGTGTTACCTTTGTGGGAAGTATAATATAATCGTGTATGTAAAATGGTGCCTTATCCTGTTGTTAAGATGCCTGAAAGCACTTCACAGGATATACTGTAAAATGTAGTGACTGTATTTTGTGGGGAATGTGGCAGTCAATTTGCGTACAGCAGTGTCCCATAAAAACTAATGCAGCGAGTGAGCAATTTTATTTTGGGGATTATTGGTCAGGAAATTGGGAGAAACTTACTTCTCCTTTTGAATAGTACCATGGGACCTTTAACGTCCACCTGGATAGGCAGAGTGGACCTCGGTTTGACGTTTCATCCGATGAACGGCACCTTGAAAATAAGCTGAAACTCCAATGCACTGCTGGGGGAGTGCTGTAGTCAGTGAACTTAACATCCCTAACAAAGGGCTGGAACCCACAAGCTTCAGACTCCGAGGCGAGGGTACAACTAAACCGAGCAAGGCTGACACACACACACACACAGTTTCCTATTTCACATTGTTGTGAGACTTTCAATAAATTATCTCCTTATTATTGAAAGATCTGATGGTTTCTGTAAATAATTGCACTATTTAGCTTTGTTTTGTTTAATTTCTGAAAAACCTCCGAGGTCAGTCCTTCAACATGTGCCAGAGGCACACAGTGGCCCAGTTTATAGAACTTTTGTC